GTGAAAAACTTCAAAGCTAGCTTGGAGGCATTTTTTGCCAGACGCCATGCTTGAGTCTATCCAGATTCTCTTGGTTGCTATAAGTCTCAATTATGAGATTTAATTTTGGGAGTTGGATGTCAGGATATCTGCATACTACAACCAAAAAGGGTTTATAGCAAATGGGTAGAAACACACGGTATGCAAGTTGTGAAAGTCTATTTCATAGTCTTAAGAAAGCATCCAGGTCTTGGAACATCAGTTTTGATCAGGTTATCAAAATTTTGATTTTGAGAGAACCTTGATGAATGATGTGTATTTGTATGTAAAGGATTCAACGGAAGACAGTAGTTTTTCTGGTACTTTATGTAGATGATATGCTCCTTATTGGAAACAACGTGGAGGTAATATCAAGCATAAAGAGTTGGCTAAGTTAGTGTTTTGGTATGGAAGTACTGGGGAAGCCAATTATATTCTTGGTATAAAACTCTTATGAGGCCGGAAGAATAAGTTGTTGGCATCACCTCAGGCTACTTACATTGACAAAACTCTTGCCAAAATTCAACATGAGAATTCTAATAGAAGAATTATAATTCTCAGATGTGGAATTCATCTTCCTAAGGAGTAACCAAAGACTTCTAAGAAGAAAGAATGCATGAGTAGGATATCTTATGCTTTGGCAAAGGTAGACTCATGCATATCATGTTGGGCATTAAACCAGACATCTGTCACGCAGTGGGAGTAGTGAGATAGTACCATTTTGAACCTAGGGGAATACTAGATTATTGTTAAGCATGTACTCAAGTATCTTTGGAGAACGAGAGATTATATGCTGGTATATTCTAGTGGGAGTCTTGAAAAGCTGAGTTTTAAAAAATTCAGTTATTTCAAGTGGATATTGACTCAAGAAAATCAACCTCGAGCTATGAGTTTTTCACTAAACTCAGATAGCATTAGAGGTGGATCTTGCAGACCCAGTTACTAAGAGTTTGCCTGAACTTGTGTTCGAGAGGCATATTACTTCTTTGGGTCTTAGGAAGATCCCAGACTTGCATTAAGCAAGTAGAAGTTATTGGTTTCATTGTGCTCTTGGAGTAAGACGATGAAACAATAAAATCATTTTCTGAATTTCATAAATAAGGTTTTATTTATTTATTTTGCGCACTATTTACAAACATAAAGGTCCGGATCAAATTGTGGAGTATATGATCATATGGATACGTTCATGGAGGACATGATCATAGGATCTCACAATTGATGAATGGAGTCACAGCCGTTAAATAAAGTTGGGCACTTTATTCAGGCTGCAATATTTTATGAAATGATTTTGTCCGAATCATTGTAAAATATTGGTGTGAATTAACATTCACATTGAAAGGATCAAGGAGAGATTTGATTAAGGTTGTTTTTCTGTCATAAGGTATCAAATCTCCAGTTAACTATAGTTATGTGATTGCTCTTAATCCTGAGTTTATTATAAATAGGTAATCAAATAGTTTTCATTCTTTGATTTACCAACGGGTGAGGTTCGATCTATTGACGGCCAATAACTCGGTATTTTGGGAGTGAGATTATTTGATTATCGGTATTTATGAGATAAACAACATGGAATTTTTAGGATATGTCCCCTTGATATGTTTCGGTACTTGGATATTAAAGACACTGGCCAGTGCATGTAATCCATCAGAGAAACTATCATAGTCAAGGGAATAAATAATTGATTGAGTTACAGAAAAATTGTCAATCAATTATAGACATTCTACAAAGGGGCGATGCATATTCATGTTATAAGTGTTGTTAATCTTGGAGTTCAAGTTCGGGCTTTTAGTGGAGTAGCACCGAATTAGATAATCATTCGTTGATTATCAGGAGCCTTGATTAATAACAGATGGTAGATCCCCAAGCTAGCTTGAGACAAGGGATGGGGTATTTTTCGGATAGATGATGACTTATGGGTTACATGATCTTGGGTTTTACGACTCAAGTTTGTATCCAAAAGAGCAAGTGGGAGATTGTTGGGTTTGCTCTTTTACTAAAGCCCAAATGGGTTATTAGTATGAGAAGAGCCCAAGGAACCTAGAGCCCAATGAGCTAGGGTTTCTTGGAACCCATATAAATAGTACCTCTTAAGTCATCAGCCTCTAAGGTCTTTTTTGTGAGAAAGAGGCAAGCTCAGAATCTAATCAGTGCCCACACACTTCCCCTTCCTCCTCGAGAGATAGTTTGGAAGATCTGCCACAGTCCAGCTTCAAGGAGGTTGTTCGTGCTGCGGCGCTGAGGTGAGCTGTTCGTGAAGAGGAATCCTACAAGGGAAGATTCTACACGAGACCTGTGCACCGAGAGGTAATTGTGAAACAATGATGATTCGGTAAGCATACCAATGTACTAGGTCCTAAATCGCTTCCGCATAAATCTAAGATTTCCTACAAGTTGTTGTAGACTTGTGAGTGTATTTTCAGTACTTGGGATAATTGTTAAACCTTATTTCACTTTGTAACTTCTTCCTTCTTTTCTCTTCTTATATATCATGTCTGTAGCATCGTAGTCATTAACTTATTTAGAGATCCAAGTGGAAAACATTTCAACTACCATGCACCAATGTGATTTTGTTTGTATAATTTGTGATTTTAAAGAAAATACACACTTGATTGACTGAGGATTGAAGTCTATTTGGAGTTTTGACTGAAGGAAGGTAAAAAACTGTAAAACTTTATTCTCACACTTTACAGTAATTGGATATCATCATGCTTTGAAAATAGATATGTCCAAATTCTATTCCTACATGTTTTACCCCCCTATATTCCGTTATCTTCCAGTTTGCTAATATTTAGACTCTGAATCGAAAGACCTGTTTTATTACATACTGCTTCTCAAACTCAATAATTTTTTCTGAAGAAGCAACGTACGTTACTAGATAGCCATGCAGTCTATGCTTTGGTTAAATCACAAGAGTCTGATGAATGCAAGGAGGTACCTTTTATTGATAAGAACCATTGATAACTCATGCAAAAAATTAACATCTCAAATGTATACATTAACAATTTTACATATATCCCTGATATTTTAGAGGATCTTTCCACTATCTCCTATGGTTTACATGACCCCGGATAATAATATTTGGACGTTGAAAAATTCAAACTATTACATGACTTTTGCGGTATAAAAACTGGCTTATAAAAATATATGTTTATTTGTACTAAAAAAAATGTTTATTGTATTTTACATAGTTTGTCATATTTGCTGCTTAATGCCTCCGCTAACTTAAAAATTTTCATTACTATTATATTAAACATTAAATTGTGTTGATTTTTTTTTTTTTTTGGGATAGGTTATTCATTTATGCCTATTCCTTAATCTGCCTATTTTGCCTCCCTTTCTCAGTACCGTTAAATTGCAATCTCATTTAATGGTGGAGATTTATAAAATAAAATAAATCATTTTATTCCTTTTTCACCCATTTGCCTCTCATCCTTTCTCTCTCCTCCCTGTAAGAGAGCATTTGGAATTCAACTCCACCAAAAGATAGCTAAATCAAGCTCATGAATCATCAAATTGTCTGAGAAAGACCCTTTCCATCTCAAATTTTCAAAAATCAAAAAGCCATTTTTTTTAAAAAAAATAATTTTCTGATCACCAAATACTGACTCCCCCACTTCCATTTTAACCGTTGATTTCTGTCAATTATATCTTAACAATATTTTTACTAATATATTGTTACTACTAATTCACTATCATATTTTAACCGTTGATTTTCCTCGATCAACGGTTATTATTTTCACAAATCAAACTCATTAATTAATTATTTATTTGCAATAAATGATAACCATTGATTGACGGAATTCAACAGTTAAAATATGGTAGTAACATTGATAATAACATTATTTAGTAGCAACAATATCCTATCCCTATATATATATATATGTATAAGGTAAAATTCAAAATATAAATTAAAATTAATTATTAAAAAAAATATATTTAAAATTAAAAGAATGAGCATAAATAATTCAGATAAAATATAATTTAAAAAATATTAAAAATTATAAAAGATATGTATAATTTATTTAAAAATAAATTTAAAAAGGAAAATAAATATATGAATACCAATAACATAATAATTTTATAATTAAAATTATATATATCCTACTAATTCTGTTCAATTTATATTAAATTAGTTTTCAAAAAACTTGACCAAATACAATAATTTTCTATGTTGTTGTTATTAGTCGTGTAAATATGTTAGACACTTTACAGGGGCTTATGACCTAATTTATATCAGGCTAAATTCAGTCTATTACATATAATCAAATATAGGAGACTTAGACTTTTAAAAAAGTCTATTTAAAAAATATGTCATAAGCTTTCTTTTACATGTCGGTATAAGCCGACCAGGCTATATTATATTTTTTATTTTAAATAAAATAAATAAAATTTTTATTTTAATAATTTTGAACAACAGAGTAATATTATTTTAATTATTAAATATTTAATAGGTTTAAACAAGCTAACTGATTTAGGTTAAAACTTTTATTTTTTAAATATAAATCACACCAGACTTATAATTTGGTCGCTTACAATTTACAAGTCAAACTAAGCCTAAAATATTTTACACAGAAGTAGTTTACACCCGTGATTGTTATTATTATTATGGGTTCGCTTTTTCTGCAGATACTGCAGATAAGTTATCTGCAGTAAGCCCAATACGACGTCGTTTTGGGACGGAAATCATGGTGTATTTGTAATTTTAATTTATTTCAGGGTTATAATAATTTTTATATTTATAATTTTTTAAGATTTCAATATCAAAACGACATCGTTTTAGGAATAAATACAGATAAGTTATCTGCCAAACATTTTTCCCTATTATTATTTAGAATTTTTTTTAACTTCGGTTTTTTCTGTTTAATTTTTGTACTTTGCCTTCTGCAACCGAGTGAGTTGTTTAGGAATACAGGAAAATAAAGGGGTTCGTTTGCAAAAAGCCGAAGAGCATAGAAAAAGCTAAGAAAAATTGAAGCAGCAGAAAGAAGCAGAAGCAGGTTACAGGCGGAGAGTGAGTGTCTCACATTGAGATTCGGTGGAAGGAAGAAGAAGGAAGGGATTCTAGAGAGAGAGAGAAAGAGAGAAAGAGAGAAAGAGAAAGAGTGATGTCAGACCTAGACAGGCAAATAGAGCAGCTGAAGAAATGTGAGCCTCTGAAGGAGTCTGAGGTGAAAGCTCTTTGTCTCAAAGCCATGGAAATCCTCGTCGAAGAAAGCAACGTTCAAAGGGTCGACGCCCCCGTCACCGTTAGTTACTCCACCCTTTTTCTCTTTCCTTTTTTTATTCATTTAACTCAATGCTGTGTCGTTGTTACAGTACTCGTAGTTTATCTAGCTTCTGGGTTTCATTTGATTCTCGATTTTCATTCTGGGTTGTTATTTTTTGTGCTAAAACTGAAGAAAAGAAGCTGATAATTTTCCATTGAATTTTAGTATAATATGATAAGTTAATAATTACCTTACTGGGGAATTCAATTTATCTAGGGCTTAATGTAAATGTCACGTAAAGCAATGAAATAAAGGGAGGGGATTTTCCAGATTTTGTGCCTTTTTATGTAGAATTGATTGCATTGGGTAGGTTGAGGTAGGAAATAGGAATTGAGCTAGCTCCTTGCCAATTCACAAAGTTCATTGCTTTGTGCTTTGTTTCATGTTCAGAGTGTCATGGGGACACACAGGATGTAATTTTATAAGGCTTTTATAACTCTGTGCAGTTAGGATTTGGCCTGCTGCATTAGTTCTTCTTTAAGATGATAGGTCCTGCTTGGGATTTTCGTTGTACTGATTAATTTATTTGGTTGTTTGATTGTCCACTTAGATATGTGGTGATATCCATGGCCAGTTTTATGACATGAAAGAGCTTTTCAAAGTAGGAGGTGATTGCCCCAAAACAAACTATTTATTTCTTGGGGATTTTGTTGATAGAGGATTTTACTCAGTTGAGACCTTTCTGCTTCTGCTGGCTCTTAAGGTAATTAATCTTTTATTTTTTCTCTTACAAAAATTTTGTTCTGATAAGACTGAAAGTTAGAAGCTTGTTGTGTAGTCATTTTGGAGAGTCTTGTTTTTGTTTACGTGTTTATTTTATGCTTTCTGTGTGTGTTAGATCTTTGTTTGGGCTTGTAACAATTTCAAAAATGTTTCAGTTAGTTTGCTCAATGATTATCGTGGAAATGTGGTCTTATAGCATCCAGGCTGTGGGCTTATTGATCGGTGAATATAATATCTTCGAGTGAACTTCAAGCTTTTTCTTTGGTAACACAATTTGCTATTGTTAGAAATTGGAATAAAATTCTACAAGGCTTTTTGCTGGATGGTATGTGTAATGAAACTTGAAAATCTGCAAAAGGAGGCTTTTTTTGGCGTCTTTAATTATGCTTTTTTGAAGTTTTGTTGGTAAAAAGGAGAATAAAATGCTTTGGATTTTGTTCTTTGGGCGCATTTGGATGTAGTGAAATGCTACAATTTTTACTCAGCAGTTTCTTCCTTCTACTCTGCCGTCGGGCAGGATTTCATTCTCACCCTCTTTTGTGGGTTTCTACTCATGGTCTTTTTTGAGGCAGTCCTCTGTCTATAATGCAAAGGGACCGTTGCGTGTTTTTGAGTTTACGTTCTTTTGTCTATGTTGTTTTCTTTTCTTTATTTTCTACGTAGAGGCCTGGTTCTCCTTTTTTCCACTTTGTTCGTTTCTTGATGAATTCTTCTTTTGTCAATTTTTTTTTTAAAAAGAAAACAAAAGATAAAAGGATTTTTGACTTTGACAACTAGGTTCTGTCGGATCCCGAACTACTCGTCTACTTTTTGTGGTATTAATGATGCTTCTTTTATGTTCTTTATTTTTGTAACTAATTAATGGCATTATAATCAGGTGAGGTATCCAGATCGGATAACACTCATCAGGGGGAACCATGAAAGCCGTCAAATCACACAGGTTTGTCCATTAGCGAAGTGGAATAATGAAATAAAAAGCTTTTTATGAATATAATTATGAAAGCAGGAAAAGAAAAGACACTGGTATATTTCTTAAAATTTTGTGACTTCAGAACACTTATTCAATATCCATCACTTGACAGGTATATGGATTCTACGATGAGTGCCTTCGAAAATATGGTTCAGTCAATGTTTGGAGATATTGTACTGATATATTCGACTACTTAAGGTTTGCCAATATCTGATATATCAAAAGATTTTATAAGTACATATGTGTTTATGTGGGTGACTGTTACGCACCAAGGTCTTTTTGTGTGGTATCAATTAGCATTTATTAGCTTCAATTCATAAAAGGGTAAGGTTGGTATCAATTAGTCTTGATTAGTATCAATTATCTTTATTGGTTTTACCTTTTTAATATTTCAAATGCTTGTTATAAAGGTTAATGGTTGTATGGAAAAAGATAGCAATTAAGAAAATTACTTTTTTCCAATTATTCTCTCATTCTATTCTCTCTCTCTTCCTTCTCCTATGTCATTTCTCTGCAAATTCTGCCCCCTCCTGATTACTCTTTAACAATGGGTGATTTCGTTGAGTTGCCTCCACCATGCCAATTGCAAGAAGTGCAACAACAGCTATTGCCATAGAACATTTACACCAGTATTTCCTAGATTCTCATGGCAACATCGAACAATTAAGCCAGGCTTTCCCAGCATCTCAAGCCAATCAACTGACAGGAGAAAGTCTCTTGGCATTACTGAACAAACATAATCAGTTGGATCTTTGCCACCCTCTGACACAAGCTCCCACCACTACCGCCATTTTCAGCCGATCCATTTCTGCACACTCCACAATTACTATTAACAATGCCATAAATCAAGGTCGAGCATAGTTTCCAAACAAGGGGGTTGGCACATAGCGACCGATCCTCAAAAATACTATAGCGCTATAGCGGGTAGCGGTATAGCGCAACAACAAAGTCCTATGCATGAACCTGTTATATGAATATACTACACATGAAATTGCTAAAAAATAATGACATTCATTCATAATTATATATAGGGAAAAGTTCACCAATGCCCTTATGATTTACTCCAGAATCACCTATTCCCCTGTGGTTTTTTTTATCACATATGCCCCTGTGGTTTGCAAAAGGGTATGTTTTTATCACATATGCCCTTGTGGTTTTTTACTTTTTACAAATCACAGGGGCATATGTGATAAAAAAAACCCACAGGGGCATAGGTGATTCTAAAATAAACCACAAGGGTATTGTTGAACTTTTCCCTTATATATATTATCATCGTCATTCTAAACAAGGATTCATGGAGCATAAAGGAAGCGACGAAATTTTATTGAAGTCTTCTAAATACTGTCATTAAAAGGTTTTCAATTTCTATCTCAAACTCCATTCGCCGGAACTGCTAGAAAAAGGGTTCGGTTGCTTGAGTCTGGATCGGAAGGGTCGACGGCTGTAAGGTTGCAGGTAGGTGGATTGTTGGGTGTTGTGGTGGTAGATTTTCGATTTTGAGTGAGTTGCGAGCTTACAGAGGAGACGTGCGGAGGAAAGGTTTAAAAACTTCAAGAAGCCCAAACTGCCCCTAAAATTTGATTGTTGGAATCCTAAAATCATAGGCAAAAGAGTGATTTCTCCCTCGTTCACTATTGCGGCGCAATTGCTAAAGCGGTGGCTATGGCTGCTACAACAAATTGTAGCATCGTGTAGCGGAAAATTGTAGTGAGAGCGCTATATCGTGCTATTGATAACTATGAGGTCAAGAATTCAAACATTACTTGATTTGAATCTTACATATGATATGGGAGATACTTCTCCACAAGGGTCCAATGCCTAATGTGCTATAAAATTCCTGAAATGTTCGCTTTACTGCAAATTGCGTTTTTCATGCCATTTCGTTGCTAACAGCTCTCTTTTGTCGAATCTGTTTGTTTTATGGGTACAGGGGTTGCGTATTTTATTTTTCTTTGAACTGATGTTTTTACAAAGAAAATTCTTTGATGATCTTTATGCAAAATTGAAGTTCTTTGTTTGGGCAACTTCTCCTGGACTATTTTCTTATTCACCGTTCAACTATTAAATTCATTCTTGAAGAATTTCTATATCTTGAAGTTTTTACTTGCAGAATGTGAACATTATTTTTTCTATTTTAAGAGGGAAAGGGGTTTGGGTTGGGGGACTTGAACTGGGTTAAAACTAGAAGGATGCTTTTGTAGCTTTTCTGTGTATTTTAAGAGGGAAAGGGGGTTTGGGTGGGTGATTCCAAAAACTGTAAACTGATTATTTTCATAGCCTTGTCTAATAAATATATAAAAATAAGCAAGAATAAATTTTTTAGGATTTAACGGGAAACAGTTTATATATCAAATTGCGTAACTGCATTTACATATTTACTTTTTATAACTTGCATCTTTCACTAATGGCTTTCATATGTGGAAAAACACACTGCAGCTTGTCCGCCCTAATTGAAAACAGGATTTTCAGTGTTCATGGTGGTCTTTCTCCTGCCATTTCAACATTGGATCAGGTTAGAAATTCTACCCCAGTTTATTTGTCTTAAAGTCTTAGATTGTACATTAGCAATATTGTATATATTATTCTTTTTTCATATCCAGATACGAACTATTGATCGGAAGCAGGAAGTACCTCATGATGGTGCTATGTGTGACCTCCTATGGTCAGATCCTGAAGATATTGTGGATGGATGGGGGCTGAGTCCCCGTGGTGCTGGTTTCTTATTTGGTGGCAGTGTTGTTACTTCTTTTAACCACTCCAATAACATTGACTATATTTGCCGTGCTCATCAGTTGGTAATGGAAGGATATAAATGGATGTTCAATAACCAGATAGTTACTGTCTGGTCAGCTCCAAATTATTGCTACAGGTGCATAATCGATTAACTGTTCTTATTTGTGTTCTGATGCTTTTAGTAAGACATTTTCGTCTTTGTTACAGATGTGGTAATGTAGCTGCAATTCTGGAGTTGGATGGGAATCTTAATAAGCAGTTCCGTGTGTTTGATGCTGCTCCACAGGTTGGTAGGCAAAATCACTTCATATTGATTATCATTATAAACTCAGTAAAAAGAGTAAGCTATTAGGATTTTGGTTTCCTCACTTAGTAGCAATATGAGCCTCAATGCCTTGATGTCATATCCATTTATTCATGTGGTAAAGATTGTGCTACTATTGATGAACCGGTGAATCCAAGAATGTGCTACTAGTATGACTTGGGGCACAAAAGTAAAATTAGAATGTTTTTATCATACTTTATATGCGTATCAGTGAGTTTTCATTTGGATTTCACTATCTTTGCATCTTTAAGCAAATAATTTGTGTTCCATGTTCTTTGCTACCTTATGATGATACTTTAGGATCTTTTCTCCCCATGGAAAATTAATTGTTAAATTTGTGAAAATTTATTTACAAATTTTCTATTCTTAATGAAACGTAGGAATCAAGAGGGGCACCTGCCAAGAAACCAGCGCCAGATTACTTCCTATGACACGGATTTCCTTGTTTCTATGATCCAAATGCTTGAATTGATGAATATGAGACTTGAATCAAGGTGATGATGAAGTTGTCTGACATGGGAGGAATCAGTGAAGGACAATCATCAGTTCTGGAGGCAGGTGTTCTGCATCCCTGTTTCTGCGTCTGCTTGCTTCATCCATCTCTAGTATTATAGCTGTGTTGGGAAATAGTATGTGATTTGCAATATATGGCTCTATGTTCATTCAGAAGCTATGATGGACAGAGGGTTTAGAGGGAAAATGAGGTTTGCATATATGAGAACTTGATTAGGAAGGATTTGATTGGATCAGGGAATATTGGGAGAACTTTCCATATAATCTGTGGAAAAAACCCAATAGTTGAGTTTTGATTATCCGTTTTGGCCATAAAAGTTTATGATATCTGATTCATGTAGTATGTGTGTAAATGTATTATTGCTCAAATTTTGCACCTAGTGGTTGTTAGTGGAATTTTTCATTGCCTGGATATGAAGGTTCACTTGTTAAAGAAATGGGTTCCTTTTCAACAGAAAATCCCAATGCATACGAGTACAAATGCTGGGAACTTCCTGATGTCTTTCTAAATCACATGGCATGCGCGTCAGAGAAGAAAACGGAAGAAAGAAATATGCGATCAAGAGACAATGTTCATTTCTTTTTTATTTCGTGTGTTAAATGACAAGCTAAAAATATATTCTTAATTAAAGAAATAATTCTAACTTACATTAAAATCAGGAATAAAAGTATATGAGTATTTTGGAGCCTCCAAGCAGAAAGGATTCCCTTTACAATCCAATACAGTTGGAACCAATCCGGAAAAATGGATTGAATGATTTTGATCTCCTTTATCTGAGGTGGGCACATCCATGCCAAGCAGTAACTTAAGCTTCCAAATTTCAAAGTGTTGGATGCAGACAAGATGGTGTTAACGAAGCTAGAACCTAGTAAGCCAAAGCTTAGGAGTTAGGACTATGAAGGCCAACTTAACTCCATGTTGATTTATCTCACTTCAAACAAGCAAGGAAAGTTCAACTTGTTCACTGGATTAGTTGCGAATCTGAGTTTTAAAATGGTGAAAAGTAATGTTAAAAAATATCTATAATTTCTTGCTCCTCCGGAACGGGTCTCCTCTCTTTACCTTGGTGTTGCTGGTGTAGGTTTTCTCAAAATGGGAATGAATGTTCTCATCATTAATTTTTGAAAAAAGTTATATCATTTTTAAGAGAGATAAAAAAATAAACATGGGGAAGAGAGAGTGGAGGGAAAAAATTTAAATTTAAATTTCAAAAAATACACTATTTTTTATCTAAAAAGACCATCATTTTAAATGATACACACTTTTTTATTAATTTTTACATGACATTGTCTGTGAAAACTGTGTTCAATTTTCTTCGAATAGATTTTTATAAATTTTAATAAGGTTTCACCTATTTGGTCTATTAAAAAAATGGAAAAAAATATTTGTTATTTTAATGGACTGTGTGTTATTTTAAGGCAAACGAATATATTTTGGTATATATTTATCGAGATTAATATTTCTTATGTTGAATGAGATAATTTTATCTTATATATATATATATATATATATATATATATATATATATATATATATAAGTGTGTAAGACTCGTATGAGGCTATGTAGAGATTTATTTTGGCGCACAAAATATTGGGTGGGGCGGAGAAGAGAGAGTGAAAGAGAAATTGAGTGAGGAGAGAGGATGGAGAAAAAAAAAATTCCATGTGTCACTCTCTTAATGAGAGGACCACCATGGTCCAAGAGCATGTTAAAAATTTCCGGCCACGTGAGAAGAAGAAAGAGAAAAAGAAAATGCGAGCCTCCACATACTTTTATGCGTGTATAGAAGATAAAATTATCTCATACAATATAAGAAAGATTCATTTTTTTCTATCAATGTAGATAATTTATCTACATTGAGCCTAAAACGACGTCGCTTTGATGTGAAAATCAATGTATTTTTGTAATTAGAATTTATTTCAGTGTTATAATAGTATTTTTTATTATAATTTTTTAATTTTTCAACCAAAAACGACGTTATTTTAGGAGCGAAGGTAGATAACTTATCTACATCAAGTGTAGAAACATTAAAGTCATATAACAAACACTAATGTCATATTTATTAGTCTTTTACATTCTCTATTATTTATAAAATTAGAAGGAGAGAAAAAGTAAAAATATTATAAAGAAAAATACATAAAAAATCAATAAATATATATTAAAATAAGGCGTTTCACCTTAATATAATGGGGATTACGAATGTCATGTGATAGAAATGAATCCCATTTTTCTGCAGACACAACATTTGTGGGTCCTATTGGTTTTAAAAAAAATAAAAAAACAAAACATTTGAGACATGGTTTTTGATCTATCTATAACATGATGTAATGAATTTCCTATAACATAACAATTACAAATCCCTAATATAATACAAAGAAATTTTGTCCAGTAATAACAAAAAGACCTGAAAGTTCAATCACGACAAATTTAAAGTGTGACAGTTACTGCATTAATTGGGGCGTACAAGGTGCCAAATTGCCAATATACTTCGAGTAGTATTGGTCTCACTTAGATTAGAAAGACATTTTTAAGTAATTGTATTCACTCCAACTCAAGATAAATCCACTATTTTTAATTTTATCGCTAGAATATATAAGTATTGGAGAGGTTCTGGTTTGAGTTTGAGTGGGGATCTAGTGAAATAATGCATTTTCTAGAGCCCGAAATCAGAATACAAAGAAACGTAAAATTAAAAATCACGTGGGTCACGAGCTCCCATATATTATATATCAATCATTGATCACTACCGTGCCAACTCCAACTCAATTTAATAATCTGTTATTAACAAACAACAAAAACTCCAAATCCAACCACTTCCTTGTACGTCTCCATTCATAGTTCCTGTTTCTGGTCGTTGTTTTCTGAGAAACTCAGCTCCAATCCAGTAACATATTCAACACACAAAATAACAGTAAGAAAGCTGAAACTTATTACTGTTTCACCACCACATGTGTGTATTTAAGATTTCATCTTTCACTGTATAAACATAAAAAAAACACCATGCTCTTGTTAGTTTTTAAGCAGCTTATGTTTCAAGATTCAATAGCTTAGGTGGATATTGATATTATTGGCTTGATCCCTTACAAGGCTCCACCTGAAAATTCATGGCATCCACAATTTTTTTCCTTCTTTTATTATTATCCCTTCTGTTAATTCCAAGCAGTGGTGATCTCCAACATCAGGAAGAGGGTTTCATCTCTGTGGTCATATCTGATAAGGGCCTTGATTTTGCCAAGGATTTTCTCATAGAAAAAGCTATTGCCTCTATTGTTGTGTCTCAGCTGCCACAGATTGAGAAGTCTGTGCAAGTCCCACTTGTTGGAAAAGCTAAAGTGGTTCTTTCTGACATCACAATCCAAGGTATCCAAGTAAATTCTTCATCTGTTAAGACAGGAGATACAAGCATTGTTCTGGTCGTTTCAGGTGCCACTGCCAATATGAGTTTCAATTGGAGGTATAGTTGCAGCAGTTGGTTAATCCCAATTGGAATTTCGGATAGTGGGACCGCCACTGTGGAGGTATAAGATAGAATATTACTCATTTTTATACTTTGTACTATCCCTTTTTATTTTATTTTATTTTCCCCCTAAAGTTGCACCATTTTGTTTTGATGGCTTATAATTTAAATTGTTGCATTGTGCTTTAATTAAGAAGGGTTGACCTTAACTAAGTAATAAATGTTTTCGTGAAGTTGTTTATTTTGATCAAAATTGGTTAGCGTGGTTGTTCTAGGGAAGCTTTAAAGAGGTTACGTTTGGGATTGCATTTGTCCCCTTCATGCAATTGGAATTAGATCAACTTGTTAAAACATAGCAAATTTAACGTAATTAAAACGAAATGATGGGAGTTCAGTTGGCGCTAGGGAATTGAGCAAATGAGGTGAGAGCATGTGTTTGATTCTTCCCAGTATCGTCTTTGGGTGGAGTTTAAAGCCTTAACCCCAGGACCTGTCCCCAATCGAACTAGTCGTGAAACAATGAACCGATTGAAATATCTCAAAAAAAAAAAAAAACTGCAAATTTTAAAATTTAAAGAAAAAAAACAAAGATTTGGTATCTAGATGAACAATAAAAGACATGCATTTCAGTATCTGATAGGCAAAAACCTGTGAGAATAATATACTTTTTAGGGGAAGGATCCGTTTACAAACTTTTTTTTACAAATTACACTAATTATGACCGGTCATACACTCTTGATTGAAATATGACCGGTCATACTTAGTGTAGTTTGTAAGAATTTGTAAACAAAAAGTTGGTAAATATAACATTCCCCTACTTTTTAATGCAAATGTATATATTTTTTCCTGTTTAATTTATCCTTCGCTCAGTTGTGTTGTGCTATGTTTGGAAGGTTGAAGATATGCAAGTGGGACTTACTGTAAATTTAAGGAACCAAGAAGGAACTCTTAAGTTGATTCTCTTAGATTATGGATGTGATGTTGGAGACTTATCTATAAAGTTGAACGGTGGAGCAGCTTGGCTTTATCAAGTGTAAGCAATCTTCTTAAGCCATGGTTATTGATGATTGGGAACTCTTCACACATCTTCTATCATAGAGAATTATGTTTTTTTATTGCTGATTGATTTTCTACATTTCCATGGGGAAGCCTTGGGCACACAGTTATAATCCCAGAGCTATGTTTCAGTTGTGGGATTGATTTTCTACTCTAATCTGTAGTGTGCCATGAAACTGGGAGGGCTGAGAAGAGGGTCTTCCATTACCTTCAGCAATCAGCAACAGACTTTTCTGGAGAATATAAAGCTATATTTCCTAGATTCATATGAATTGACTTCTCTTCTAAAGGGAAAAAACATGACTAATATTCTGGGCCTCTATATATTTAATAGTTGAGGATATTATGCCAATAATTTCTGTTATGTTGCAGGCTAGTAGATGCTTTTGAAGGGAACATAGCATCTGCAGTTGAAGAGGTCATTTCTAAGAAAATAAAAGAAGGGATAGCTACGCTTGACAATTTATTGCAATCTCTTCCGAAGACAATATCATTAGACAAAACTGCTGTTCTAAATGTTACTTTCGTGGACAATCTAGTGCTGAGTAATTCTTCTATTGAAATTCAAATTAATGGTTTATTCTCAGGGACAAATGAAGTTTTAGTACCTCAAGTTTACCACAGAGGATTAGACATTTCTGATTCCTCTGGTGGTTTACCAAAGATGATAAAGGTTTCGTTACATGAAGATGTTTTCAAATCCGCTTCCTTAGTTTACTTCACTGTAAGTGTCTGAAGCTTTCACTTCTTGTTTTGCTTGGCTTAGTCTAATAACTGGATTTTTTCTTTCCCTTTTAATTTTGATCTCCATCCATGATGTATAATAGCTTCTTATTACTTGTTTTCATATCTTCTACCCTAATCTTTTCTCATGACACATTAGCTTGTTTCTGTTTAGGCTATGACCTTATCTATACTCTGCAGAAGAAACAATTTCTTTGTGGTCCCACAGTTTGCTTGCTCGCTTGAATCATTTATATGTACATATTAATGGAGTGAGTTCTCTAATTAAGATTGGTTAGGGAACCTTTGTTGGGTCCTTTTGTGTTGTTGAAATTATACTGAATTTGGGATAAAAGGATTACTTTACTGACATCAAATATATCATGGATTGCTAAGCTGCATCACAAATTTTTTAAATTGAATCCTTTATCAGACAAAGAATAGTGCTGATGCTGATTAGGTTTTATGTACTAATTGGGTGGCTCCAATTTGTTGTTGACACTTCAAGCTTTTGTGATGGATGTTTTTGCATTATTATAGATTGAAGTATAGTTTTGATAGTTTATGTTGTTCTTGCGCTCAGGCAGATAATTTGCAATGGATTGTTGATGAACTACCTGATCAGGCCCTTTTGAACACAGCTGAATGGAGATTCCTTATTCCTCAATTATACAAGCAATATCCAAATGATGACATTAGTCTTAATATCTCTGCATCTTCTCCTCCAGTTATAGACGTGACAAACAAAGATATGGATGCTACCCTTTTCATAGATATAACAATTTATGTTCTGGAAGCTGGTGAAGTCATACCTATTGCATGCATCTCAGTGGTATGCTTAAACGAAGTCAATATACTTAAGTGCATATTTTAAATTTCTTTCAAGCTTACACTGTTTAAGAAGATATCTCTCATAAAATACTTCTTTTCTACATTCTAAGCTGTATGAAATTCAAGCTTTTCCCCTTTTCGTCATCATATTGTCATATACATAGCCTCGTTTTGATCTTCTGACTAAATTTTCAGAGTTGCCATTGTTTTTCTGTCTCTTCCTGCCTAAGATTCTATTTATCAGATGTTGTTCTATCTTTTGTCAGTTGAAGAGGTAGCTATGATCCGTGATCATTAACTTATCTAACAAGTCCCGTTAATCTTGCTCTTTGGTACAGGATATTAGTGCTTCATGTGCTGTGGATATTGTCGGAAACAATCTTACTGGTTGGCTTAAATTGAGAAAGTTTTCCACATACTTGAAATGGAGCAAAATAGGGAAACTGCACATGCATGTGATTCAGGTAAATAATACCTGAATTCATCTTTTCAGCTTGCACCTTTGTATTTTTATATATTTTTGGATGAACCAAATAATTCCTCCTTTTTAGGGGACTATTCTAGGATAGCGAATCAAGAACTCTTCAACCCATTTACAGTTATTAGCCTTTCACGTTTCACTTCACTGATTCATTTAGAAACTGTAATTCTACACATGGTTTAGCTCATATGTATCATCATCTCATGTGCACACATAAACCATTCATAATAGTTCTTGTTGTAAATAATAGTTTAGAATAGTAGTATAGAAGTCCCACATCATGTATATCTCTTTGTATTTTCCTTCTTTTGAGTTATATAATAGACTCTCCGCTGTATAGTTAAGACACACGGATTACTTATAAATCTTCTTGTTCTTGATATTCAACATGGTATCAGAGCCTCGCCGCCCCCCACTTTCTCCTGTGGCGTTTCTTAGCACAGGTAGGCTGGGCTTGTTGCATTGTCTACTCTTCAAGCCCAATGGGCTCTTATGTGAGGGGGTGTGTTGAGATATATAGTCTCACATTGGTTGTATGTGCAACTAATGTGAAGTTTATAAGGTATTGGGTACTCCCACCCTTTGAGCTAGCTTTTGGGGTGGTGTATCCCAAGGTTCTTTACATGGTATCTAGAGCCTAACAAGATCCGCATCTTTCCGGTAGACCCACTGTCTACCGAGTAAAAATCTTCTCGGAAACTGTCACCATCGTCAGTTTCCGGCCACCGTCTGCCACCACTGTCCTCCACCGGAAAAGTTTTCCGGCGATCGTTTTGATCAAAAAGTACATCAACGGACTCAGAAGAAGCCGATCTACCCAACGCCGCAAGACCCACCGTCATCAGAGGTTGCCAGCGTCGTGGACCACCGTTTGACCGCCGTTGACCGCCACCACCGATCATTTTTCAGGCACTTTTTCCGGCGAGCCACCCACAGTTGTGATCGTCACAAGGAGGCGGTTCTTTCCGTCCAAGGCCCGCCCCTAAATTCCCACTGAAGCATTTCTCCTCTTTCCATTATTGTTCACGACATCTTTGTTTCAGCGAATTGTTCTTGATCCATGGCTGATTTTAGCTCATTTATCCTTCCTCAAGATATTTCTCGGCTCATGATCACTGGTTCCACTGCTACTGTTGTGCATACAGGTAATAGTGTTGCTGGTTTCACTCAAAGTTCATCATTTAGTCATTGGGTTCTTGATTCTGGTGCCTTTAATCATATTTCTGGTAATAAATCTTTGTTTTCCTCTCTTTCTACCTCTGGTTATTTGCCTGTTGTCACTATGGCTAATGGTTCCCAGGTTCAGTCTCATGGGATTGGAACAGTACATCTTTTTCCCTCCATTACTATTGATAATGTGCTCTATGTCCCTGGTTCACCCTTTAATCTCCTTTCCATTAGCCGTTTAATACGTTCTCTTGATTGTCTCATTTCTTTTACCCAAAATTCTGTTGTTTTACAGGATCGAAATTCGGGGAGGACAATTGGCGGAGGATTTGAGTCCAATGGCCTTTACCTGCTCTCCAGCTCCTCTCATGCTCATTCTGTATTAGATTCTCTACTCACTATTCATGCTCAGTTGGGTCATCCTAGTCTTACAAAGCTCCAGAAGATGGTACCACGTTTGTCCAAGCTGTCCACTTTGCAATGTGAATCATGTCAATTCGGGAAACATACTCACAGTTCTTTTCCTAATAGAGTCAATCGTCGTGCCTCCTCTCCTTTTAGTTTGGTTCACTCTGATGTTTGGGGACCCAGTCGTACTGAATCAACTCGGGGTTATAGATATTTTGTTACCTTTATTGACGATTATTCTCGAAACACTTGGTTATTTTTACTGAGAAACCGCTCTGAGTTGTTCTCCATATTTCAGAAGTTTTATCATGAAATTCTTACTCAATTTGGTATTCCTATCCGCACTTTTCGTAGTGATAATGCTCGTGAGTATCTGTCTCAACCATTTCAATCATTCATGGCATCTCACGGCATTCTTCACCACACATCATGTGCGCATACCCCCCAACAAAACGGGGTTGCTGAAAGAAAAAATCGTCATCTTATTGAAACAGCTCGGACACTCTTAATTCATGGGAATGTTCCTACCAGTTTTTGGGGTGATGCTATTCTCACCGCGTGCTATCTCATTAATCGCATGCCTTCCTCTGTCCTTGGTAACCAGGTACCGTACTCTATCTTGTTTCCTCATCAGCCTTTACATTCCTTACCCCTTCGTATTTTTGGTTCTACTTGTTTTGTCCATGAACTCGGTCCCAATCGTGACAAGTTGTCTGCCAAATCCCACAAATGTGTGTTCCTCGGTTACACCCGGACACAAAAAGGTTATCGGTGTTACTCTCCCAGTCTCCATCGCTCTTTTGTCTCGGCGGATGTTACTTTCTTTGAGTCTGTGCCATTTTTTGGCTCCACCTCCGTTCCCGATGACTCTGTTGATACTCAGTTACCTTTACCTTCTGTTCCAATTCAATATGTTCCGGCACCAGATTCCACACCACCAACGCCTACTGTCACTTCTCCATATGTCCCAGCACCAGATCCTCCTCTCCAGGTTTATCACCGTCGGTCACATCCACCCATACCCCAAGACATTGTTGAGGTTCCTATGGACTCAGATCTGCCGTCATCAACTCCTGCGGTTTCGGTCCCGCCCTCCGACATTGACCTACCCATTGCTCTCCGAAAAGGTACTCGTAATATTCGTCCTCCACCCAGGTATTCAATAAATATGAGTTATCATCGCCTTTCTCCATCACATTTTGCTTGTCTTTCTTCTTTGTCTTCTGTATCTGTTCCTAAGACTACAGGTGAAGCATTATCCCATCCCGGATGGCGACAGGCTATGATTGACGAGATGTGTGCACTTCATGGCAGTGGTACTTGGGATCTGGTTCCTCTTCCCTCTGGAAAATCTGCTGTTGGATGTAGATGGATATTTACTGTCAAGGTTGGTCCTGATGGACAGGTGGATCGTCTCAAAGCACGTTTGGTGGCCAAGGGATATACTCAGGTGTTTGGTGAAGATTATGGGGATACATTTTCCCCTGTGGCAAAAATGGCGTCTGTTCGCCTCTTTATTACTATGGCTGCTATCCGTCACTGGCCCCTTTATCAATTGGATGTCAAAAATGCTTTCCTCAATGGTGATCTTGCGGAAGAAGTTTATATGGAGCAACCTCCTGGATCTGTTGCTCAGGGGGAGTCCAGTCTAGTTTGTCGACTCCGCAAATCTTTGTATGGTCTCAAACAGTCTCCACGAGTTTGGTTTGAAAGGTTTAGCACCATTGTCCAACAGTTTGGTATGACTCGGAGTGCGGCTGATCACTCAGTCTTTTATCGCCACTCAGACTCTGGATCTATTTATTTGGTGGTATATGTTGATGACATTGTCATTACAGGTGATGACCATCAAGGCATTGCTCAGTTAAAACAACATCTCACTCATCATTTTTAGACAAAAGATCTCGGAAGACTACGATATTTCTTGGGAATTGAAGTGGCTCAATCTAAGGATGATATTGTGATATCCCAGAGGAAATATGCTATGAACATTCTAGAGGAGACAACTTTGTTGAATGCTAAGCCCGTCGATACCCCCTTGGATCCAAATGTCAAGCTTATGCCAAATCAGGGGGAGCTATTTTCAGATCCAGAAAGGTATAGAAGATTGGTTGGGAAGCTGAACTATCTGACAGTTACTCGACCAGACATCTCATTTGCAGTCAGTGTAGTAAGTCAGTTCTTGAATTCTCCTTGTGAAGATCATTGGAATGCAGTGATCCGTATCCTCAAGTACATCAAGAATGCTCCAGGTAAAGGTCTCCTCTATAAAAACAAAGGTCATACCAGAGTTGAGGGATACTCAGATGCTGATTGGGCAGGTTTCCCCAGTGATAGAAGATCCACATCTGGGTATTGTGTATTCCTTGGAGGTAACTTGGTTTCTTGGAAAAGCAAGAAACAAAGTGTAGTTGCCAGATCAAGTGCTGAAGCAGAATATCGCTCCATGGCCACAACCACCTGTGAACTTATCTGGTTAAAACAACTATTGAAGGAACTCAAATTTGGAGACATTGGCACAACATCTCTCATTTGCGATAATCAAGCTGCTTTACATATTGCTTCCAATCCAGTGTTTCATGAAAGGACCAAACACATTGAGATAGACTGTCATTTTGTTAGAGAAAAAGTCCTCTCTGGAGATATAGTCACTAGTTTTGTTAACTCAACTGATCAATTAGCTGATGTTTTCACTAAATCTTTGAGAGGGCCTAGGATAGATCACTTATGTAACAAGCTTGGTGCATATGATTTATATGCTCTAGCTTGAGGGGGAGTGTTGTAAATAATAGTATAGAATAGTAGTATAGAAGTCACACATCATGTATATCTCTTTGTATTTTCTTTCTTTTGAGTTATATAATAGACTATCCGCTGCGTAGTTAAGACACACGGATTACTTATAAATCTTCTTGTTCTTGATATTCAACAATTCTATTTTGAAATGTATGATTGTTAAACCTTAGTTATTGTATATCCAGGCTATTATGAATCTTACTCTTTATAATCATTTGCAGTCAGTGACGTCAACTGTCCTCAAAACCGTCCTCATACCATACCTAAACTCGCAGTTAAAGAGGGGGTTTCCATTGCCAATTGTTAATGGTTTTGCCCTTGAGAATGCTCGTGTATTGTATGCTCAGCCATGGATTGCAGTGTGTAGTGATGTTTCCTTCTTAGGAGAATACCATCTCAGACAGCTACCAACTTACGTATCATAAAACTACTCTCAGAGATTTGTCTGCTGTGTACTTGTTGTGTTGATAAGGGAATGAGAAACTTGTCAAGATGGCTATGAAGAGTGAATAACAAACATGCAGAGAAGTCCATTCCTTAGCTTCTTTTATGTATTCCATCTTTATTCTTTAGTTTAGCTTTGGTTTTAACCTTTGTAAATCATGCTGTCCTGAAGATTACTTCTTGTAAATTTTGCCAGCAGTCAAACCTCCTTATTGGAATGTCATACAGGCTCTTTATTATTTTAATCAGTGATTGATATTTTCATTTGTAAATTTGTGCAAACTAATTTTTTTTTTTTGGGTATATAGATTAATATTTTTATTTTCCATAGTAGTAAGAAATAATACTTTTTTAAAATAAAAACATTTATTTATCTTCAGTTTTCACAATTATCTAAAGAGGGAAGCAACTAAAAGAATATGTTGGCACGTAGATATCTTAGATATTTACATAAGATAGATGCTTAGGGACATCTACGATTTCGTATTTTGTATGACATTTTGGATGTCTTAACAAGTGTGATGATGCCATTATTTGGTTACATGAGTATCTTAGATATACATATTAATTTGTTTTAGATGGATCTAAAAGGCACTGAGAGTGCATGCCAAATTTAATTACGGGATTTTCATAAATTTTTTTGAGTCATGTTGAATGCCATCTCAAACAAACAAGAATAAGAATTTTAAATCTTGGATTTTTAGGTTCCGAATTCTGTGCACAAAAATCTCAAAAGGACATATAAAAGACGAGTGAATTTTGGTTTAAATAAGAGAAAAGATTTAGATTTAAATGGGAGTAAAATTTTTCAATTTGAGTAAATGATATATCGAGTACGGTACAGTAATAGCATCCAATAAATTTTCGTAAAAGACAAAAAATTCTAGAATATTATAATAGCACCCAATTTTCTATACATCTATCAATCTAAAGTAAACTAAGCACAAAACAGATAAGTAAGAGAGAGAAATATTGTTTAAAATATATATATTTGTTTTTGAATAAAAGATAAACGTATACTTGTCATACTAAAAATGAGCTCATAAAAGACCTAGTGTCATATTATTCAAAATTTCTAAGGTACTCCCATCACAGCATTAATTTGGTTCAAAGGGTCAATCAAAGTCCGAGAGAAAATTTGCTAATTGTACGGATAAGAGAGAATTTTTTTTAGTAAAAATCCTATATACAATGCAGTAATAATGCACTTCATATTATTCCCATGTAACGAGACTTATTTTGGCGCTCCCACCTCATGGAATATTGGGTAGGGCGGGAAGGGAAGAGAAAAAGAGTGATAGAAAAATTGAGAAGAGGGGAGGGACAAAAAACAAATAAAAATAAAAATTACATGTGTCATTCTCTTAATGAAAGGACCACCATGATCTTAGAGCATAATAAAAATTTTCGTACCAAACATGAGTATTTTAAACTCACAGTCAGTCAACTAATTTTAACAAAAAATATTTTATAAACTCTCTCCTGAGAGAAATTATTGTGTCCGGGACCACTATTTTTTAGGTGATCTTTTAGTGTAAATAGAAGGACAAAATTGAAAAAGAAGAAAAATAGCAAGGGTAAAAAGAGAAAAAAAATTGGTGTTGTGAGAGGGAGCACCAAATCATTGGTGATCCTGAAGTATATTAAATATTTCCCTCCTATTCTGCTCTTGTGGATTATTTTTTTTTGAGATTTTGTTATCGGGTTTCTTAAAAGTATATGTTAAAGGATAAACATAGTATTTATTATTTATATTAATTATTTAAAAATTAAATATTTTTAATTTAGAAACATTAAATATTTATGTTTTTATTAAATAATATCCACATTTTTCTTAGTATTGTTTTAAAGGCCTATTTTTTTTAAAAAAAATTCCAATTACTTTCTCTGAATACGGATTTAGCTATGTTTTTAATTTATTTATAAAATTTAAAATTATTTAAACAAGTGTATTTTTTATTTTTTTTTGTTAATCTGGAAACTCGACGAGTCACGTTACGAGTCATCCGAGTTGATGGAAGGACCCGGTGAGTTAAAAAAGAGATTTTAGTTATAATTACAATTGAGAAGAAGCTCCATTTTGTCTCTCTTATTCTCGTTAGGGATCGCTCTGGTCAGACTCAGCCATCCACACACCAAACCTCGCTCTCTTTGAAAAAACTCACTAAACCATCTCATCCAATTCAATAAAGGTAATAACCAAAATACACATAACATTTACATTACATTACATAACACACACGCCACAAACCCAAACCCAAACCCAAACCTTCATCTCTCTCAAACTCAATTACTTAATTACCCGCCAAAAACCCACCCCCTCTCAATACTATGTATTAGCGCTTCCAATTTTTCCATCTCTTTTTTCAAATCTCTTCCCTCCCTTTCTCTCTCCTCCTCCTCCTCATCATCTTCTCTCCCTCTCACTCTCTCTCTCTCTCTAGGGTTTCCCTCTTCGCCGTCGTTCGTCAACTCTGATGGACGAGGGCAACGAGGATCCCAAAACGGACGGTTCGCCGGTTCAGAACGGTGAATTGGATGATGAGCGTTGCGGCAAGAAGGCCAAGGTGGATGCTGCCTCCGACGGCGGTGAATTGAAGAGAGTGGCGGAGATTGTGTTGGTTTTGTCGACGATGGCGACGGTGCGAGGTGGTAGGAAGCCCACCGATGTGGAGGTTGAGCTCATGAGGGAGGCTCGAACCAAGCTCGCCGAGCTCTGTCAGGGGCTCGCTCCGAAGGATATTGTGGCCAGGGAAGCTATTGGGACCGTGATTGAGGATCTTGGCTTGAACGCCAAGATTAAGGACCAGAGGTTAGGGTTTCGAACTCCCAAGATGTCCGTTGCCGAGAGGTATTCCCACGCTAAGTGGAAGGTAAGGGAACCTCTTAATACCGATAATTCAACTTCCTTGTTATTTATTGTTATTATTATTTTTTAATTTTGGGTACATTTCAACTTCCTTATTTATTGTTAAAAAAAACAGTAGAATAAAAAGAACCATCATATCATAGAACGAGGTGGTGAAGTAAAAGGTTATGTATGGATAAGAATTTTGGGTCCCGGGTACCACGTAATTCAGCTGCTTCTTATGCAATTATTTGTATTTCTTAATGGAGGACTATTGTATATTTTTTTTAAAAAAAACTCCGAGTGAAACTTTTTTCTTGCGAGCCTATGGTGAGGAAATCCTTATAGGTAGCTTTACCCTTATCCCTACCCTTATCCTCATGGTTGTTGTATACTGATGAGTTTTAATTGCTTGACTTGAGTATTGGGTTATTTTTCTGTTAATTATCTATTGTAACTCATTTTAATCTTAACTAGTTTCTTTCTTTCTTTCTGTCCTTTTTTTTTTGGGGTGTTGGGGTGGTTCATATTTTGTTGGAATGGTGAACTCTGTCAATGTAAATATTTTATATTTGGTATTTTTGGTTTCAAGAGGGCGAGCCCGTGCAATGGTAAAACTGCTTTTTTGTGACTGAAATGTCACAGGTTTAAATTTGAGAAATAGCTTTTTTGCAACTATGCTAGGGTAAGGTTGCATACAAGGATTGTCCTCATCCCTACCCTTGCTTTTCAGGTTTTAATGGAGAGTAGTTTTTATCCTTTGGGTTTCATATTTCTTTTAACAAGTTTTTTACCATTTGTTATCTATTTCTTTTACTATCTTTCTTTATGGTTCCTAGATGGAGGAATCAAAGAAGTTTTCTACATCTCAGCCCTTGCAAACAAGCATTGGTGGAACAGTTGACAACCGTGTGCCATCACATGCTGTTCGAATGATTGCGCCTGATAAATCAATCCACACAGCAATCTCTTCCACAAGTACCATAGTGTCTATACCTGCCCATGTTTCTGCAGGATCTTCTGCAGCATTGCAATATCAATCGATCAGCAATGAAGTAAGACCACCTGTGGTTTCAGGTTTAATGCCTAGCAGTCACTTGGGGAGAAATTCATCTCCCTTAGCATTGCCTAAAGTTGAACACCCACAATTCAAAGTTGATGGAGGATCAAATGGGTCTTCTTATGTCCTGCAAATCCAAGGTAATGTCTTCTAAAGCTCCTCACCAGTTCCAACTTCCAAGTAGTGGTGGAGTTACATTTCCAATTGGTGAATGAGTAATTGTGCAATATGTTGTCACTGTATGATGAATTGATTGAACACGTTGACCTGGATTTTGTTTTACTGGAAAGCAATAATATTCATTAAATTTTTAACTAAATGTTCAGAAGTGCTGGAATTTGTGGTTGTATGAGTTTCTTCTGCATAAGTCATGGAATGATTCATGCTGAAGCCTGAAAATTCACTGGATTTGTGTATATCTAGGTCTTTTTTGAGGTTATTAGATGGATATAATATACCAGCACTCCAGCAGATGTTGTTCCTGTTTCCTTGTTTTTCAAGAGTCTGGAATTAAATGATTGCGCGTCTTTCTTCATTTGTCTTTATTTCCTCCAATTTTCATTATTTGTAGGTAAATGTTACAGAAAGCTATGGTTAAGGTTTCAAATATCTATTGGCATTTTCTGCTTTTTTTATTTCATAGTTTGCAAAAGCAGGTTGTCTATTGTATGTTCAATTGTTCATAATAAAATGTGTATGGGTGTATCTTGTGACATTTCAGTCATTGAATTGGCAATTGAATTTGAGAATTTTTCAACTGTAGCAAATTTGTCTGCAAACCAACCTTTGGTGAATGCTCCAACATGGCCAATACAGGCTCAATCTCCATCTTTAGCTAGAAGTGCATCAGAAAACAAGGTGCCTGGTCATAACCCTATCAAGGTTGAAGGAACAGCTGATGTAACTATGTCAAGGGCAGGGCCACAAATAACAAATGATCAGAGCTTTAGACCGTATATTACTCAAACAGCACCTGGAAATTTGTCTAGTATGCACCAGCCAGTGCAGGGCATGAACATTGTTCAGCCTCCTTTTATTCCTAGTCATGCGGATATTGCAAAGATTGTCCAGAAATTGCTACAACCAAAGGTTCCTGACCATCCCACATGGAGTCCTCCGTCAAGGGATTATATGAATAAGGCTTTGACATGCCAGATGTGCGAGCTCTCTGTCAATGAGATTGATACTGTACTTCTCTGTGATGCTTGTGAAAAGGGTTTTCACTTGAAATGCTTGCAGCCATCGGTCTTACGAGGAATTCATAATAGAGTTGATTGGCACTGCATGAGGTGCTTAAGTTTAAGCGGTGGAAAGCCTTTGCCTCCAAAGTATGGTCGTGTCATGAGATCCTCAAACACACCACCGAAATTGCCCTCTAATACGGGTGGTATGCAACCATCTTCAGAGAAGAAAGCAGGGAGCGTAGATCCGAAGGTCAGCCCACAGAAGTTAACAACAAATGGGAGCCCTGTTCCAACTGTTTCCAGTGGAAATGACAATGTTGAGCCACCATCTGACTCAATGACCTCACCAGATGGGAAAGACATACAAGGTACCACCATTTCATCCAACATTGAACATGTTGATGAAAAGCATGATCCAAACATCTCTATGAAATCCCTTGGTGCAGCTTCCAGTCCTTCCACTTGCTTGCCAGGTGAAAGTTCTGCTGAACAAATAAATTCTGAGTCTTTGACCTGTAAGGAGACTTCAGAAACTGAGACTCTTCCTAAATTATCTGAGCCAGCTAAATGTGAAAATTTGCAATCTTCACAAGATTTTCATGTTAATCAGACAATACCACAAGACAATGCTGTAGTATCATCAGATAAACATGTTGACATTAGTTTAATGAATCATAAACAAAGGGAATCTCATGGAGGGGAAAATTTAATTTACGATATCAAGCGTGATGATCAAGATGTTGCACTAGCAAATTTTGTTGGAAGTTCTGGAACTGATACTGAAGGTAGACAGCACTCTGCATTATCTTCAGACACCTCACATGCTGTAGAATGGATTGGTGATGTTATACAACTTGTCGAAGAGAAAAAGTTTTACGGATCTTGCTGTGTTGATGGAGTAACATATAGGCTTCATGGTCATGCTCTTTTCCCCTCCAGCCATGGCAATTTAACACCTTTTAAAATTCAGGCAAGCAAATCATTATGCTTTCAACTGTAGTCTAGCAGTTGGTTATATCATACCTGTAAAATTTGACCTATGAAATTGCAAAGTACATATGAATACCAAAAAAAGTCATGTTTTTGGTCTATTTTATGGTTTCTGTTTTGATTTGATTGATTTGCAACCTTGTGTGAAATAGTATTATCTTATAAAACTTTAGAACTTAACAAGTAGACTTAATCCCATTTTATTTTCAGTCTATGTGGGAAGATTGCAAAACTGGGTTCAAGTGGGTTAAGGTGACAAAGTGCTACTTTCCTGGAGATTTGCCAGGGAATATTGGTCATCCATGTATATCTGAAGTCAATGAGGTATTTTTTATTTTTACACATACATCTTTATGTATAAATAGGTGCATGTCTTTCTTCATAGATTGATATCAATTCATTCCCGCCAGTGTGAAAAATTGCAAAGTTATCAAATACAGATTGCGGCCTGTCTTGGCCAACCCTGAAAAATGCTATAAGACTATAGCGGGTTGTGGTTGCGGAAATAGCGGAATGGATCAATAGAACCTAGATATACCACACATATATATGCTAAAAAATAAAGACTTTCATTCATTATAAAGAAAGCTTGGTTATATTGTATGACACAACAAATTATTGAATTTTTTTTACCACAAGTATTAAAAAAAAAAAACCACCCCCCAATTAAACCCGACTAGCTAGTGTGGGGTGAGAGCAATTCTTGTACGCTGCCTTACCCTTGCAAATAATTGCAAAGAGACTGTTTCCTAGATTCGAACCCATGACCTTTCAGTCACAAAGGAACAACTTTACCACAAGTATATTAAAAAAAAATGACATGGTTATATTGAATTTTTTTTTTAACTGTGTAAAGTTATTTGTACAATTATTAAAAAAACAATCAAAGGTTTTAATCTTCATATACAGTTATTTATTAAACTCTTTGTGAAACCACAGATAATGACAAGCATTGCTGTGTACTCATGATTTTAAGGCTAAGATGCTTAGAGATGTAATAAAGACTAAAGTCCAATCACTATATAGCAAGCATATGTGTGAGCAGTGTAATCTGGTCCTAATCTAACTAAGAAGGACGTATATTAGACAAATAACAGAGGCAAAAAAAAAAGAGGCAAGAAAAAAAGAGGCAAAAAAAAGAGAGGCAAGAAATAAAGAGGCCAAAAGCTTACTTGCGAACTTGAGAGAGAGAGAGAGAGAGAGAGAGAGAGAGAGAGAGAGAGAGAGAGAGAGAGAGAGAGCAAGGCAGAGCAGAGAGCGAGCAAGGCAAAGAGTGAGACGTAGAGCACGGAGCAGCGACAGAGGAAGAGCGAGATGCGCGAGAGACAGAGAGGAGAGGGTGAGACGTTTCGTGCGATAGAAAGAGAGTGAGTGAGTGGCTTAGTGTTAAACGAAAAGACTAAAATACCCTTAAAAGTTTTCTGTTACACATTTAAAATAAGGGCAAAATTGTATTTTGCCTTATGTCCGCAATAAGGCTGGGATTTGGCCTCGATTCTGCTGCGATTTTGCCGCATTAATGGCCGCTATTGCGTTTGCGGCTTGCGGCGCAATTAACTGCTATAAAGCTACATTTATTTTGGTCATACATGCACTTATACTCCATAAACTGTTGATTGGTTCTAACTTGTAACCTTTGCAATAAATTCTGTTTTGATTGGTGTATCAAATGATAATGCTCATCATTCAGAACCGTATATTGCATATGGATTTTTTCCTTATTGATATGTTTTCTTTTTTCTTTGTTGAAGGTTTATGAATCTAATAGTGATAGAACTGAAATGGCTAGCTATATTAGAGGCCCATGTGAAGTCCTCCCATCTGATAAATTTAAACAAGAAAATGACAGACGATGTCAGCTAGGAATTGAGGCAAGTGCTAAAGTACAGCCCATTTTCCTTTGCAGGTTTGTTTCTTCATTCATCTATCACTCTAGACAGTTTTTATTTTAATTTGTCTTATTTTGTCCTGTTTCATTCAATCTTATACAATCTGTCATATGTAGTGCAGGCATCAAGCTGATATATGACTATGATTTATTGCGTGTATTCTGAGATTATAGTTACTACAGAAGGGAGATGGTAAAACGGGAATAAAGAAAAATTTGGGACCTTAGGATGTGGAATTATTTTGTTAATTTAATTTAGATACTCTTTTCTAAACAGCTAATTGATAACACACAGAATTTAATGCTCAAGATTAGTATTAAAGTTGCTGTTATACAGAATACTGTATTCATATGTGGTGGCCTTTGTATACTGTAATTGATAACACGCAGAATTTATTGCTCAAGATTAATATTGAAGTTGCCGTTATACAGAATACTGTATTCATATGTGGTGGCCTTTAGATCGTGTTATTTTGCATAATAATGGTTTGGTTTTTTCTGCTGAAATTTTGAAGTCATCTTTCTTAGGGGCATTGTTCTGATACTCAAAGTGCTTCAGATGGAAAGTATAGGCTTATTGCTTATTGTGTAAAGTAATATCTTGTGATGGAACTTTGTGCAACCTGATCGGGAGGAAGTTAAAACCATGCAAATTAGGGTTTTCCTTCATGCTGGATGGGCTCAAGTAATAGATGGTGTAATTGGGAAGAAGCATTTATGTCTCTTCATTTATTTTTACTTTCTGATTGATGGAATTTCAGGGTAAAATAGAAATAGAGAATATAGATTAGGAGATAGGGATCTCTTCTAATTATCTTGGTTGTGGAAGGTCTGGGAGCTGGTTTATTGGGAACAACTACAAAGCTGTGTGGACTCTTATGGTTTCACAGTAGGTCAGGGGCATTAGTTTTTGTTATTGTTGCTCGAATCAGTTATTTTTTCATCCCACTTTCTTAGACATTTGGGCTGCTGTTCTGGGAATTATAAATCTTTTTATTTTTGTGGATTTGGAAGATGGGAAGAGGCTGTAATCAGATGTTTGCATGATGTATTTACATATGGTTGAAGGGGAAGGAGGGCTTATTAAGATGAAAGCTATCTTGCTGTTGATATGAGAGCCAGTTTGAAGGTTAGGGTTCTACACTTCTAGTTAAGGGAAACTTTATGCATAGGACTGGCCGACTGGGTTCATACTTGGTGCGCCTAGGGAACCTCTATTGGAAAGGAAAGAGGAGAAAGAAAGAAAACCCTTTTATTCAACTTACAGGGTGTTCTTTGTACAAAAAGTAGAAAGCAGGGAGATGGAAAACAGGATTTGAGTATAAACACAGATAAAATGTTTAAAATTATCATTTAGGCTGGTCATAGGTGGTGAAAATTTGGAAAATTGAAACACATTTTCATGCTGCATGCCAATATGGCTGAGATGACCATTACTAAAATGTCATGTTTTTACTACTTTAACCTCGTTCGAAATTTTATAGAATCATTACATTGGAACTCTTCATTCTATTTGTATTTCAATTTTCAGATGAAAATATTTCATTAGCATGGAATGTAAATGAAAGCTGTTCTATTTTCATTTATGTTCCTATGTTTATTGCATGCACATTTTAGATGCTGAAGTTGTGGTGTTTGAAACATAGTAGTTAATTGCGCCGCAATAGCGCTGCGAGCCGTGTCGTATGGGCGTTGCGGTGCCTCGCTGCAAGAAACCGCACCGCGTCGCACCGGAGCGCAATAACGGCCATTGTGATCGCATTTGTAGCCAAATCGCGACCATATTGTTGTCATAAAGCAAAATGTCAATTTTGTCCTAAATTTAAATGTGTAATAGAAACATTTTAAGGGTTTTTTAGTCTATCTGCGTCTTTCTCTGTCACTTCTGCTATCTCATCCTTTAAAAAACGTTTCTTTTTGTTATTATTTCTGTCATATAGCGTTTTTCGGGGTTGACCGCGACATGCCGCAATCCGCATTTGATAACTTTGGTTTGAAATCAAATATTTAATACTATGTAAAAGGTACATAGATTCAATGTCGGTTTAGGATTTGTACTCTGCTCGGATTCCCACCCAATCATTATTCAGTCAGGACAAAATTTGAATCTCCCTATTTGACACAGTTGATATTTTTGTTGCGTAGATTTTTCTTCTTTTTCTTCCTCTTCTCTCTCTCTCTCGGGTGTTTTTTAAGTGATTTGACTAATTTTGCAGGTGGTTTTATGACGAAGTCAAAAAGTTATTTCAACCTGTTACCAGTTGATTCTGCCTTGAACATACGTTTTTGTGGCTCCCCTACACATTGCATTTTTGTGGTGAGTATTTGACCCCTGGTATGCGTCCAAAGTGATAACTGAACCTTTCTTTACTCTGATATCTTGTCTGCTGAATATATGAAATCTAACCCATTTAATCACTTGTGTGTTGTTATAAAACTGTGGGAACAATGGGCGCTATATTCATGAATTTCGGTTGAATTTCTTGTTTATGGTTGCATGAGCCTCCATCAACTCAACTCATATACTCAAATAATTTTAAAAAAATTCATAGAATCCAAGCATCATATTTTAACATGTCCATAATCAACATTCTGCAACTCCATAATAAAGCAAACAAAAGAAAATTAATTGGAACAACAAACACGAAAGTTAATTGTAAATTTGGGATAACAATCATAACATATATAGAACTTCCTAGTGGTTTCCAACAGAACTTATCTGACTCATCATCAAGTGGGATGATATGCGAACAGAAGTTGACAAACTGTCCTAGTAGTTTCAAACTTTAAAGTGGGAATCGGATAACAAAGATAGAAACTAAGAATTCCCATGCACAGAGCATTAAAACAGCAAACCCAGCTTCAAGAGAAATCCAATGCAACTGCTGTGCGCTATTTTGGAACCAAAAACATTTCATGGAAACAGTGAGAACTGGGCCACACGGAATTTTTGAGAGATAGATACGAGTATTGAACAGAAGTGAACTTGATGAACGACAGAAGCAAACATTTGAGCCTACTTTATTCATTTATTACAAGCATTTCCACTTCATGGACATTAAGTTGTGAATCTACTTTATTGAACAGAAGTGAACTTGACGAACGACAGAAGCAAAACACTTGAGCCTACTTTATTCAGTTATTGCAAGCATTTCCACTTCATGGACATTAAGTTGTGAATCTACTTTTCCTTTTATATATTTCCTTTTCTCTTATTTCCCCTAACCTGATAAATTGAAGGACGCAAAACATGTTGGTGTTATAGATTAAACTTTGAGCTTGCAGTTTTAGAGTATCTGGTTACCTTTTTAGCCTAAAATCTGATGCATGTATAGACATTTAAGGGATGCTAGGCGAGAAAAGGATCCCACAGAAATAATAGAAGACGAGATAAAAATAATAAAAGAGGCATGAATTTGAGCATTTCATTTGGAGCTTGGAGAGACGACAAATGCAGGGTGAGGTACGGATGAAGGGTGAGGTATAAGGTATTCTGCGTCAGAATACTTTCTTGTGATAAAGACCTCGACTTTTCTTTTAAAACATGAAAACCAGATTATTTCTCGAATGTGTGTGTTTAGCTAAAACAATATATCTGCTTATTGATTTCACAATGCCATTTAATAAAACTCTTATCTTAAGTTGTACTTATTAGCTAATGTGGGGGAGGAGATTTTTTTGATTTTTATTCTTCAGACGTCATAGTTTATATGTTTGGTATTATTATTACTATCTCTCTTGATTCTCTCTTTCCCAGTTTCTCTCTTGGATCTTTAATGTGTTTTTGTATTGATGCAGGTATTAGGGGTTCAAACAAGATTTTTTTTATGGGTAATTGAGCATACATTAAGATTCTCCAGAGACCCACCATAAGGCACATCGCAGCGGCGTTGCTTCCCCATGCAAGAATGTCTGTTCAAACTTTCGAACGTGAATTGCATTTGATGTAAAATATGTAGCTGAAGCTATGACTGCTTAGTATAGTTTTTCCTATAGTAGTTGTGTTCCTGATAGATATTCATTCTGTATAATTCTTTTTCGGGTACGTAGGCTCTTTAGGCCCGCTAATAACATTATTATCTTTGAAATTAGATTATCAGTGCAGTCCACTTAGTTTGCTGGAATTGTATGATATTTCATTTGTACAAAAGCCATTTCTTCTAGAAAGCATAACCTTGGTAATTTCATTAATCAAATGGAACACCAATTCAGCGACCTGTGATGATTTTTCTAGCTAGCGCCAAGTCAGTTATATCTGCCGAACAATATTGGGTCATGAATTATATAATTATTCAACAAGTGTCTACTTATTAACGTGAATATATTATTTTCATATATGTTTGAAGATACCGTACTAAATATACGCAAAGTTTATTCAGTATATGGATTTATTATTTGCCAAAGGTTAAAAGATTTGGAATGGTGTTGATAGGTGCTTTATTCCATTAGTTGGTAGGGTTGTTTTCGACAGGTTTTTAATTATAAGACAAGCTCAAATCGTCTACATCTTGCCAAATCAAATGATGACTGATTGATTTATATTCACATCTCTTTTCAAATATCGAACTATTTTTTTCTTGTTGAATTTTGGATTAAGAAATTTGAATATTGCTAACTACATGACCAGTAGTCACACGTAAACACTCTTGCATAGGGTCCATCTGTGCGGTTTATGACATCCTTAATTACTTCCCTAATGGTTATAGAATTGGGAGTGAGTTTTTGTACTTTTACATTAATTATTGGGATGAGAGTGGCTATGATAAAACAATGACGAAAATTATGTTTAAGCTCGCTCCAAACACTGGACGGCGTGGTTCATTTTAATCGTAATGTTTATATTTTTGTTCAAAAGCAAGGCAAGCATGGCGTGGTTAGTGACGTTATCACAAGTTTGCATATCAATTTTACAATTAATTTAACAATACCATTTCCAAAGAAAAAAAAAAAACCTTTAGCAATACCAAAAAAATGCAAATATTTTGTTTTTTTGGAAAAAAGGAAACTTTTTACAAAAGCGTGCAAATATAAAACATGCAATACCCGAAAAATGAGAGTTCCTATGATCCAAATGATCATATGATACTAGAAGGAGGAGATTGCAAGGATTAATATTCATGCTCATCACGGTTAGGTGATGAATCCAGACCACATTTGTCGGTTCGTATTTTGGGCTGGTTGTTTAAAGAATGGGTTTGTTAAGTGTCCTTCATCCCTAGAGAGGGAAATACCTGTGCAGATTGGATGGTGAGTGAAGCAGTGATAGAAAGATAGATCGTCTACCAGCTTATGCAAAAGAATCAAGACAAGTGGTTTAATTATGACTTACATAGGGCTTTACTGATTCCCATTATTGCTCCTGCGTAGTTTTTCGTTTTGGGCTTGGCCCTCTTGATGTACTAAAAAAAATCTATTAAATATATATGAAAGCAATTAAGGAATTTAAACAAATAAGTTTGAATATGGTTTTTTTCCCGCAAAAAAAGTTGGGTATTAGAGTAATACATAAAAAAAGAGAGGAGAAAATGTATGTCTTTTTTTTTTTTTTTTGATAACAAAAATGTATGTCTTTTAAATAACACAAGGTGTGTCTTTTTAATTTTTAAACACTATGCATGACTGGTAGTGCATGGTTATAATATAAAAATTTATTTTTTCTTTGTCTCTCCTCAGTCACTTCAGCTGACGTGGAGAGAGAATAAAAAAAATAATTTTTCATATTATAATTATGTATTTTCCGTAGTACATAATGTCAAAAACTAAAAGGATACATACTTAACCCAAAAAAGAAAAGATGATATGCAGAAAGCTTACCTAAATCAGTTAAAAAATAAAAAATAATAATTAATAGATTTGATTTGATTTAACTTTGGGATAATAGTTTGTCATGTAACATGACACCATTTGTGTCATGTTACAGACACAAAAACACTGTGGGTCCCATTGTATAGTAAAAAAACAAAAAAAGTTGAAGTGGGTCTCATGTTATATTGAGTGTGTAGGAAAGTGGAGATTTTTTATGTAACATAACACTTGTATTTCCCTTTTAACTTTTAACTATACGACTTTCTTTCCCAAGATATGAATGACCTCGAATAAATTTCAAGACGATTCATTTAACATGTAACATCTTCGAACCACTTCATCCTGTTTTTTCCTGTTTATATTGACAAAACTACCAAGATGATTCCAAACCTTGTAATATGCGATTGGATCAGAAAAATAATGTATGTACCTAAACAATTAATTAGGTTTTACATTCGAGTGGATGGTTTTGTGCAACAAATATATATAAGATATTGATCAATGCAGACTCAGATCTCTTGATCATCTTTAAAATGACACAATTTTGTCAAAGTAATTATATAATTTAATTTATACCATTCAATTTTTAAATTTATCTTTGAATTCGCGTATAATGTTACACCAAAGCTGGTCTTTATAAACTTATACAGAATCTAATAATTCTATATTTTTATTATCTCATTTTGTCTGATATAAATGTAATTCCTATATAGCATTATCGAATCTAGATAATAGATATGTTTATATGACTATTTTTTGATTTTTCAGATTGATCTCCTAGCAGTAGGGAATAACTGGTTGAGTGAAAGCATAGAAAAATATGCGTGAATGAAATTATGTTATTGAATTATGATGGTATCAAGACGTAAAAGGTGCATCTTTTTGGCAGTATAGCTGCACAAAAAGTTTCATTGTTCTTTGTAGTTCTCCTCTTGCGACTCGCTTAGGGTGTGCATGACAACCTTCTCAAAATTAATTATTTTTACATTTTTTCCCGAGAACAGAAATAGATAGGAAACTAGTTTGGTAAAATCGGTTTATTTTTTTGTTCTCGGGATGAACCGGTTTAATTTTGGTGCTGGGTAACAGAAAAAAGAATCGAATTTTTTTTGCTTTTTTGTTTCCGGGCACAAAATAAGAAACACTTATCCCTCTCAATCACTCTCCACCATCGTACCACTAATGTCGTCGTTACCACCCCTCACCACCATGATGCCACTACCACATCCTCCTATCACCACCACAACTACCACCATCACCACCACCACAACTACCGCCGCCCCACCACCACCACTACCGCCGCCGCCACCACCACCACCACCATTATCACCGCCACCACCACCATCACCACTACCGCCATCAACCTCCACCACCATCATTGCAACCACTGTCGTCACCGCCACCATCGCCATCACACGCCACTGCCACCACCCCATCGCCATCACTACCACCACCACGACGCCACCACTACCATCACCACCACGTCACCAACCACCACTACTATTGTCGCAGCCACTACCGTCACCACCACCGTCGTCGCTGCCGTCGCCACCAACCACCACCATCATCGTCACAACCATTATCGTCACCACCGCCACCACCACCATCACCACTATCGCCATCAACCTCCACCACCATCATTGCAACCACTGTCGTCGCCGCCACCATCGCCATCACACGCCACTGCCACCACCCCATCGCCATCACTACCACCACCACAACGCCACCACTACCATCACCACCACGTCACCAACCACCACTACTATTGTCGCAGCCACTACCGTCACCACCACCGTCGTCGCTGCCGTCGCCACCAACCACCACCATCATCGTCACAACCATTATCGTCACCACCGCCACCATTACACCACCCCGCCACTACCATCACCACACCATTGCCACCACTACCACCACCACCACCATGATGCCTTCACAACCACCACCACCATGTGACTGCTACCATTTTTGCTGCCACCAACCACCATACCCACCACCATTGTCGCAACCACTGCCGTCACCTCCACCACCACCATCCCCACCACTACCACCGCCGCCGCCACTATTACCACCGCCATCGTCGCATCCACTGCCGTCACAACCACCGCCACTATCTTCACCACATCACTGCCACCACCACTACCGTACCGCCGCCACCACAACCACACCATGTGGAAAGGAAAGTGATGATCTAAATTTTTTTTATATTTAATAGGAATTATTTTTATTATATTATTTGTTGTGTTATCAAACACAATTCTCATTCTCGGATAAAAATAGAACATGTTATCAAACACATTTTTTTTTCTCAGAAACTGTTCCATGGCACAGAAATAGATAAGAATTGTTTCTTTTCAGAAATAATGCTAGGGAATAGAATGGTTGTCATGCACACCCTTAGAAAGCCGTTTCCGGGATATGAGTCTTTTCCAAGCTATTCATGGGGTTAATATTCGTGACTACAACCAGTGCGGACTAGGAATTGCGTGAGGGAGGGCGAGAATAAAAAATATTACATCATAAATAAAAGTATTTGAAATATAATACATATTTAATATAAAAAATACTATTATAATAATCACTTGAAAATCACAATCGAAGATCAGTATCTGGTTCTTCCCTCCTTCTTTTGTCTCTAGTATACTGCATCACTTGATTTGATAAACTCGATGCAAATTGTCAAAAATTGTTGTCCAATGGTTGAAAAAGAAACTCCTCGATAACAGAGTTGCCCAATCCAGACGAGAGAGTAGACCTGCTAGCTAAACTTATTGATTGAGTCATCCTAATTGTAAATATGTATCCGTGATTTATGCTTCTGATCAATTTTTGAACCCTATGCTAATTTGAGCGTTGAAATTCCCCCTAAGCTTATTTTGCATATGTGTGATTTATGCTCACTAGGACATTGAGAATTACTACTTGAGTTTTGATCTTACACTCAAGAAGTAACGACACAAAATTTTTTAGTCATGTGAATTGATGGGAAAAAATTGATAGTCTTAGTCCACGATTATTTTGTTAGTATAGATTGGATTTTATTTTAAAAACGAACAACAAAAAGAACCCACGTTTGTGTTGTTACGATAAACATTGTGATAATTGGCTTTCGATTCCAAGTTTTGGTTACTTTGACTTAGCTAAAAAATTGAAGATATATTATATCACTTATGAGTTATAGTGCACTGATGCGATTATTTATCTTATGATAACATTAATTGGTTAGATTTTTAAAATTTTAGGGGGGCAAGGCCACCTCTAGCCCCTACGTAGCTCTGCCTTTGACTACAACTATAACCAGTGGCGGATTTACTTTGTTGCCGCTGTTCGCAGGTGCGGACATAAAATTTCAAGTAATTTTTTTTTTTTAA